TCCCCTCCCCCGCACGCGCGCCCTTCCCCGAGAATGTCCTGAATTCTGGGTCCATTTCCTGGGCCCCAGGTCATCCTTAGCCAAAGATAAAGAGCTTCCGGTCCTGCTTGGGTTTCCCCACACGTAAGATGGGGGAGATCGAGAGGCCGTGTCTGAGCCCGCTGTCCTACTTTTCTCCTCCAAGCTACTATTTCAAGCAGCAGCGGGCTCTGCCGATGAGCATGTGCTCTAAGAGCCGGGCGCGCGGCCAGGGTCGGCCTGCGCGTGCACACACGGGTCTCACCTTCTTCTGCCAGGCGGCGCGCCTCAGCGGCCTCTCCAGCTCCCAGCTGGCGCGCTCCCTGCACACACTGTACAGAGCGGGTGTGTCCCCAGCGGGCCGCGGGCAGGGGGTGGGAGTGGGGGGCGGTACGAGGAGCAGGGCCGGGCCCCGCGGGGAGGTGGGAGGGATGCTCCAGGTCATCCGCAGCCTACCCCCACCCGCGCCCGCGGGGCCCCTCCCAGTACTGTCCCCGCCCCTTCCTCCTCTGGCTCCCTCCCCAGGTGGGCGCAACCCCTACGCTCAGATTCCCAGCTTGCCCGGGCGCCCGCGACCAGAACGCAGGATCTCGAACCGAGCCCCGTGCCCCGACGTTCGCCTCCCCAAGCCCCATCAGCCAGGCCGCCCCAAGCTCCCTCCCAACTTGGGGCCACTCTGCAAAGGTGAGCATCCTCAAGCGCGAGACCAGATCGGCCGAGGAGACTAAGGACAGGGCAGATGGGGCGGAGGCGGGACAGCAGATGGGCCGTGATTGGCAGGCAGCAGAGGCTGGCGTAGAGTGGGAACTGAACCAAAAGGAATGGGGACAGCAGGGGCAGCAGCAGATGCACCCAGGTGTTGCTGATCGCGCGCCGCAGTCTCTAACGAGTTGCCCTCTCTCTCGATCTTCCGCAGGTCCCCTCCGCCCTCCCGCCGGGCTAGCGAGCCAGCCGCTGGAGCAAATGCGCCCCTCGAAGCTACCTTCCTCCCCGCCAACTCTAGTGCAGAAGCACCCCTCCTCCCCTTCGCCAGCCTGTTTCCAGAGATGTGCTATGAAGAGCTTGTACAAGTAAAGCGTTTGCTGAGCGAAACTGGCTGCGCCTGGTGGGGTCAGCCACCGAGCCGACGCGCATCTTTTGCAAACATCTTTATTAATCTTGTATAAAAATAAGGTTCAAGGAGAGTCCTTCGGGGGCTAGGGCTGCGGCGAGGTGCACTTTATAAGTTATAGACCAGGCTCGCGCTCAAGCTAAGTATGGCTATTGGAGGGAGAGGATGCTGCGAGCAGCTTTTTTTTTTTTTTTTTTTTTTGGTGGGGTGAGGAGCTTCAAGGCTTGTAGTCGGCAGGAGGAGCTGATGCTCGACCCAGCCGAGCTAAGGACCATCTTCCTTGAGCTCCAGCCTGCCTACAGCCCTACAGAATCCACCAGCGGAAACAGTGGCTACAGCGAGAGGTCAGCAGTGACCTGCAGTGGGGGTCCCGGGGGTCGCCGGCGAGCACTTCGGCGGCCTGTGTCTGCACGGATGTAGGGCTGGTTCCGAAGATCTGGAAGCCAAAAGAGACACATTTGCCCAGGCTCCAGGGCGCAGGCTCGTCTTTCTAAGGATTTGGTTTTGTGCACGCGGAAGGGGGACACTGATTTACCTCAGCCATAAACACCACCCCTAAAACATCCCAGCATGCAGTGCCCCTGGATGGGGAGGCATGTTTGGCCCCCCAAATTCCCAAAGTTGTGCCAGCACTGGAATCACAGGCCATGCCGTCTAGGTACCTGGGAACTAGAGGGGCATCTCCTCTCCCAGGCTGGCCTCACAGAGGAGCCGGGATGTCCGCTTGCCGGTACGGGCAGTGAAGGGCACTGTCTTGAGCACTGAGATTTTGGGGATAGAAGGTAGAGAGAGAGAGAAAAAAAACAAAAGAAAAACAGAAAAGGTAGCAAGAGGCATGGAGGACAGGTATGGTGGCGCACGCCTTCAATCCCAGCACTGCAGAGGCAGAGGCAGGAGGATCTCTGAGTTTGAGGCCAGCCTGGTCTACACAGCAAGCTCCAGGCAAGCCAGGGCTACACAGTGAGACTGGCATTTCGGGGAGGTAGCAGACCCCTCAGTGTGACAGGGAGAAACAGAAAGAGAAGGTCAGTACAGACAGACGGCAGGACAGAGACCTGGCGCCGCCCTCACCTGTGATGATGTCTTCGATGGCCCCATCTCGGTCACCCTCGTAGATGAGTGGCTCTTTCTGCTGCTTCCGTTTCAGCTCAGAGATGAGGTCCATCTGTTGCCGCCTGGCCTTGGGCGGAGACTGGGGAGATGAACAGCTCTAACTTTAGGGTACTTCTCACCCCACCTACTCTAGAACATCTGTGCAGTTCCTCACAGCAAGGACGGGCAGTGAAAGGAGAAGGAACCTAAACCCACTTTCTCATCCTTGGGCAGGTGTAGGGGTGAGACAAGAGGGGGAATGGGATGCTACAAATTCCTGTACCCCGGGACCAGGCTCAGGGGCAGCTGCCTTACCTTGGGTGCTGGAGGCTCTTCCCTGCCTGAGGTATCCGCCGCTGCCTCCTTCTTCCACTGTTCCACCTCTTGCTCGGCTTTCTGAGGGCACGAGGCAGGTCGTGGTGAGGACAGCCCCCCCCCTCCTTCCCTGTCCTGCCTGGGCCAGAAGCAGCCCCCCCCCCCCACTGCATCGGGCACTGGTACCTTATAGGCCTTGGTGAAACGGCTGAAGAGAGAAAAAAACATGGAGGGGGACGTGGTCTTGGGATTTTCTCCGAAGTACTCCACTACCGACTCGTAGGCCTCCTGCAAGCACAACCCGTCAGCTTGGCCGTGCTCCGTGCCCCACGGGGTACCACATCCCTTCTTCCGCTCAGGGTGGTCCCTTACTCTTCCCCCATCCTCCCAGGGTTCTGCCTGGGGCGATACCCCTCCAGGCCTTGGCTCCACACCTCTACCCTAAGGCTTCGGTGCTCCTGGGTCCCACCCACCCACCTGAGCGGTCTTGCTGTCTGCCAGCAGCTTGTCCATGGTGGGAGAGTTGGCCCTCAGGAACTCTTTGAGCACCAGACAGTCATCCTGCCGCACAAACTCTCTCTGTGTCAACTCCAGGCCTCGCTGCAGGGAGCGCACGTCCCCCAGGACACTGTCTAGGGACACTGGCATGGACAGCATGGAGTCAGGGGATCAGGCGGCATGCACACAGTTAATACCCTGTAGTGTCCCTTCCTAACCCACATGAGTGGCCCGAGACCCCAACCCCTGTACCTGAGCCTGCCTTGTCCAAGAAGTGCAGGTCGCTATGAAAGCCCGTGAGCTGTGGGTACTTCTCAGCGATGACCTTCACCAAGTAGTGCAGCAATGTCTGTTTCCGGTCAGTCGACTTCATCTCCAACAACTGGACAAGAATCTGTTATAAGCCATGGGCCACCAACCAGACTCCAGACCCCAGGCCAGGAGCCCCTTCTCACCGCATCCAGACTCTGAAGTCGGAAACCATAGGCTGCCCCGCGCTTACTGCTGTTCATGTAGTTGCCAAAAGCCAGGACAATCTGGGAAAGGCAGAGAAAGACTCAATGAGATCCAGGCTGGAAAAAAAAAATCCCTTGAAGATTTCCCAGGAAGGAAGGCAGCAAGAAATCAGCCCTCACACTCAGGCCCTCCTGAATGGACCCTTCAGTTCCATGACACATGTAGCCTGTATATATACATCTCATGTGTATGCTATTAACAGCATGAGTCCACCCCATCAGTCCACCCCAAAACTGGCTTGCCAACATCTCCATCCTCAATCCCTTGACGGTCATTTATTCTGGTCTGCAGACATGCCACTGAGTAGGAACAGTTACCACAGCTCTCCCAAAGCGGTCCCCAGAGGGACTGAGCCCTGGAGCCGACACTCAGGTGCACTCTGC